CTTCTCCCTCTGCACCGACGGAGACTGTAAAGTGTTCCCTGGCCGCCCCGGCCGCCCCGGCCGCCCCGGCCGCCCGGCGGCCCCCGCGGTGCACCTTGAGCCTAGCTGCACTGCCCCCTGCTGGGCGCACAAGGCAGCGCCCTCCCGCCCCTGGCCCGCCCCTGCCGCCTCCCCTAGGTGGCTCTGCATCCCCTGCGCCACGTCTCCCTACCAACAGCTTTGGGCCCGAGCACAAGTGCGCCCCTGCCCTCCCTTCTGGCTCTATTGGGCGGGAGATCTCTCTGCGACGTGGCCAAGCCAGAGCAATTACAGTGTGATTGCAGATCGCAGCCCCCTTCCGGGTCTCCAGCTCCTGGGCAATAGCCCGCTGACCTGTCTCAGGCTTCCCAGAACAACCACCCCTGCCTTCCCCTAGACACCCACACACACACACGCGCGCGCACGCGATCATCCTGACAATCCAGCCAGGATACCCTTTTGGGGATATGGTCCGACTGAGGCTATGAATGCATTTTGACCACAGCTGTTAAGTGGCAAAGCCAAGATTTGAACCCAAGGCTTTTGAGCCCTAAGTTTAGTTCTCTTTCCACACAGGATTTAATAATAATGGCCTTACAAAATAGCTGGGAGAAGCAAATACGACAGTTTATTTGAAAGATAATGTGATGAACTCTCAAATAGTTTGCTTAAAAGAAATAATACTCCTAAAGAGTCTGTCAGTTCTTTCACTGACTGAGATGATATATAATTAAATGCAGCTCATGGGTTATCAGTTAAAGCTTAATATTCTCAATCCCAGGGCCAGTCAGTGGCATGGTGGTTCAGGTGGCTGGACCCCACATGGCCGACTGAGCTATTCAAGTACTGGACCCAATAGCTAGAAAATCACTCTAGGCATGTGTGCATGTGTGCGCCCAAACTCCTGAAAGGAGGGAGAAATTTAAGGGAACGGACTGCAGCATGATCCTCCCCAAAGGGGGTGCTTTCTCACTTTCCCTCTCTCTCTCTGTCTCTCTCCAGTGAGCGCACGTACCCTCTGGCAAATTGTTTTGGTTTGGTTTGGTTTGTTTTTTTTTGAGAGGTTTTTACTACAGGGCGCACGCACTCGCCAGAAAGACAGAGAGACAGTGAGACAGAAAGTGAGAAAGCACCTCTCAGGGGGGATGACTAGGCTGCAATCCCTTCTCCTCCATTCTCCTCTCAGGACTCTCAGGATCTTGGGCACACACGCACACGCACCCGGCGTGCGTTTAAGCCACCGGGTCCAGAACCCGAAACGAAGTCGACTACATGGGAGTCCAGCGACACAGCCATTACGCTAACTGCTGGTCCCCCCTCTGGCAAATTGTTTTTGAAAAATGAATTCTCAATCCCACCTCCTCCCTGGGCAGACCTCATCACTCTGCCGCCTGCCTCCGCGGCACCCTTGATTTTCTTTCCCATGACAGTTTCAACAGAGGTGCACTCCTACTGTGGGGATGCTCCAGGAACGCCTGCCAGTCCTCCCGCGCCACACCGTTCCCTGGTATTTCTTCTACATAGCAAGTACTACAAAGCAGACATGCCAAGTGCTGCTTTCAACCAGATTCAGTGTTTAGAGATTTTTGCCTTAGGGCGCAAGTGCTTGCTGAAGAGACAAAGACAGTGAGAGGGAAAGTGAGAAATCACCCCCAGAGGGGATGGCAACTGTAGCCCCTTCTCCTCCATTCTCCTGGGATCTTGGGCATGCACACAAACGTGCCTGGGCGATTTTCAAACCACCAAGTCTGGGACTCAAATGATGGCTGAGCATGTAGGAATCCAGCAACATGAACTTGCTACGCCATCTGCTGGTCCAAAGAGATTTGGGTTGTAATGGTATTTGGCAGGTATAAACGGGCATATACATGCACCCCGTGTGTTTTTCAAGCTGCATATGCATGTATGCCCATTTATACCTGTACTGACACACCTATCAATCCCAAAAGTGAAATTTAGTTCCAGTGGATTAAAAAGTCCCTCAAGATCACATCTACTTTGACGTCGGTTTTACATGCAGGGAAGTATTTGCTTTCTCACACTGGGTAGATTGTTTAAATTTTCACAATACCAAATATCCAAGGGGCGAAAAATGAGCTGCTCAGGCAAGAGAAAAAAGAAAGGCAGTTAGATGCTTGGGAAAAAAAAAATCTAGGTTAACATACCTGGACCCAGAAAAGGGTTGCATTATTTGTAGGAGTTTTTAGACCATTACAGTGAGTTCTGGAATGATTAGGAATTGGGAAAAGGGCTGCATTTGTGCTAATAGCAAATACCCCAAAATGTCACAAGATGGCAGTATTATTCCAGGAGTCTCTCCCTGTTCCCCCCAGCTCTGGTGGCTATCGCTCTCTTGGTTTACAAGAAGCCCGTTGTAGCAAATATTATCAATGCTACTATACATTGTCACTTCATGCTCCCCGCCTTACCTTCAACCATTGTTCTATCATCATCTCTGATATCAACTCTACTGACTCTATTGCCATTTGTTCCATCTTTAATATACTAATTTATAAGGCCAGCCCTTGAGAGCTGAATCCCACATGGCTGACAGGATCTAGATTCCAGCCCCAGCAGCTTGAAAAACGCACAGGGTGCATATGCATGTGTGCCCATATTCCCAACAGGATGGAGAAATGGAGGAAAAGGGATTGCAGGGTGGCATACCTCATTGGAGGTGTTTTTCTCTCTCTCTAGCAAGCAAATGCACTGCCTGTCAATATAAATAAATAAATTTCACTCCCTACTTTAAAAAGATAAATAAAATATGTAGTGTTATGGTCTCTGCTTTCAATTACAAAAGCAGCTGAACTGAATGTTTTGTTATTTTATTTTCATTTATTTGAATGTTTTGTTTTAACGAGAAGTATAAAATAAACAAACAAAAACCCACGTGAAGATGACCTTTTCCTTTTTGTGAGTTAACATCCAGAGAGCAAACCTTTTAGGTAAACTGAGCATTGCCAGCCTGGAAACGGTCAGAGACAGAAATGTCACACAAGACAAAGATCACTCCTTAAGCTGGGGAGAGGCTGACAGGCCCCTTACAATGGAGCAGGAAAGGGGCCAGCCAGTAGCACAGTAGTACCACAATGCTCTCTGATCCTGAGCTCCATGGGAAGGTCCTGCTCCTGCCCCAGTTTCACATCCCGGAGTTCCCTGTGCACGCCTGCAATCTAGGCTGGCTGAGACTCCAGGTAGACTGTGGTGTAGGGGCCCTGCTAGGGTGGGGGGGGGAGGAATCTGTCTCTTCTCTGTCTGTCTCCCTTCCCTCCCTCCCTCCCTCTTTTTCATGGCAAAAACAAACAAACAAACAAACAAACAAAAAAAACCAACCAACACTTTTTTGGTAATTTTTGGAAAGAAGACACAAACATACGCATATTCATTCATAGAAAATGCCACTTACAGCTTTAATATCACCATTGTCATAGTCAGTTCACAGAAGAGCATAAAGTGCAAAAGTTCCATTTCGAAAGGCCCTAAATCATTCCCAAAGCCGCAGAGACGGGAAGCTACCACAGCAGTGGGCACCACCCTCGGACAGCACACCCTACATAAAGCATAAAACAAGATAAATATCTGAAAATATGATATTTGCTCTGGTTACATAATTGTGTTATAAAATAGCCTTAAATCTCGCTTAGCATATAGGAGAAGATACCATCCAAACAATTAATCCCTTAGAGCATGGGCCATTTCTTTTAAAAAATCTGTAGGAGAAGGATGTCTATAAAATCCACTGGGAATCCCGCTCTGGTCCAGGACTGGTCCTTGAGCAGATGAACATGGTACCCAGGCAAAGCCCTGGCTGTGGAAGCTTTCAAGTTCATTGTAGGGGAAGCGGTAGAAGCTAGGGGGAGCTTAGCTTCCTAGAACGGGGCAAACTTCTGCCCTTACCTGTCCCCAGAGACGGTTCCATGTCAGCCCCAAGAAATAAAGGGCCAGGAAGACTCAAATCCCAGTCCTGGAGTTCCCAACATGGCACTGGCTCATGAAAGCATGAACTGGTGAGATAAGTTTTGACACACCTGAGAAGTCTAATAAATGAAATAGTGGCGTTATTCTCACAAAACCTGTGTTCGATGACCATCATTGGACAGATTTTCTCAAAAACGTAGCCCATCGTCAAATGGATTCAAACATCTCACCCCAGCATATCTTAGGTATGTTCACTGAAGTGCTTGCTTTAACAATATAGTCAGAAATGAGGGGAAAGGTTTCTTTCTTTAATAATCAAAAGTTAATCAAACACTGTAAAAAAAAGAATCATCAACTGAAATGATCACAGTAACCTTAATGGTTTTTTATATCCTACATCCAGTTTCTGCTAGGTATCAGACTTGGGAATTTTTAACCAGAACAAAATCTAATAAGCCAGGCTGAGTAACCCCACCACAATCTAACTCCTAAATGTCAAACCTACTCAGGAAGATGCTAGACTGCACATCAATTCATGAAGTACACCATTCGTTGTTTTAAAAAATCTGAACACATCAAAATCTGTGAAGTCACATAATTAACAACTATTTACTATGACTAATCAATCCAAGTGCATATCAAAAAAGTAGAATTCAGGACCAGCAGTGGCATAGTGATTAAGAAGCTGGATCCCATATGGCGGACTGTGTGGTGGGAGTCCCAGACCCAGCAGGTTGGAAATCACACTTGGTATATGTGTGTGTGTGAGCCCAAAGACCTGATAGGCAAATGAACCAGAAGGGATTGTGGCATGACCTGGAACCACCCTGGAAGGTGATTTCTCTCTCTCCCTCCCTCCCTCTCTCTCTCTCTCTTCCTCCCTCCCTCCCTCCCCCCTCTCTCTCTCCAGAAAAAAAAAAAAAAGTAGAATTCCAATCATAGTTCTTAGGCCCATTCATATCAGGCCTGATGGGATTCAGTAGTTCAGTCAGAATTCAGTGACCAGTATTCAAGTGAATAGCTAACTAGCATATTCCAAACCTGCTCTTCATGAAAAAATACACAACAGGCATTCAGATTCCCCTCAAGCTATAGGACAAATGGTCAACCCCAAGAGATTCTTACTTACAACTATATTAAAGGGGAAAAAAGATGAGTGAAAAATAAGAAACTCTATGAAAATATTAATTATGATTATACTTAGGCAATAGAAATTGACTATTTTTTCCTCTATTTATTTTCTGTAAAGAGTATGTAGTGCTTTTAAATAAATAAGAATGATACCATAAATCTAACGTAACATAAGATAGATAAATTTCTACTTTCTTCATTTCTCATCCCACACTGGAATACTATAGTGATTACTGTTCAAAAGTGGAATGATGTCTTGTTCTCCTCAACGATTCCCCATTCCATGGTTCTTTCTCAGCCCTCCTCTCTGCAGAACCAATCTCTAAAGGGCATTCTGCTTTTCACATCAAAACCATTGCTTCTGACACCTCAGTCCTTCGTCTTGTAGAAGAGGGATGAAGTGGCCCGGTGAGTCAGGACACTAACGTCCTCACTTCCAGGTCTGCTCAAATACACCCACCAGTCACACTGTGTCTCTATTTCCAGAAGCTGGAGGTGACAGGAGTGTCACCAGGGCCCCAGGAGACAAGTGCTTTACCTGATAGGAAGAAAGAGTGCCCCTTGACTGGGGACAACATTCTTGTCACTGAGGAACCCTCAAGACAAATTAAACCTTCCACGAAAAAATCATTTCTGTATTCACTTCTTAACTATGTTATCACACTAAGACAGTTGGGCTTAAAATAGACCAACTATCTACTTTGGAGCATTTTTATAGCGTGAAGTTAATGGCCTAGAATCCATACCTGGTAAGGTCAACCTGAAATAAAGAGACTGTCTGATACTGCCCTTTTAAAAATTCTAGACTTAAACCCTAAAGAACTTAAGAACAGTTCTATTTTCATGAAACACCTAGGTCTCAGAGATTCTCTAAATATTTAATTAAAAAATAATTTTAAAAATATAGTTCTAAACTACAATATAGTCACATGCCTACTCATTCAATTCCAAAATTTTCTACCTTGGAAATCACCAATTTGTTAGCCTGCATATTCACCATCTGAAAAATAATTAAGTAAATGCTCTAAGTCTAACCTTAGCATAAATTTAAGTTAATAAAATATAATTTATTTCACATAAAGATTTCTTACTACCAACAGGATTCCACTACTAATAGAAACCACAAGTAGAATAAAGTCATTCATTTTTAAATTCTAAATTCATTTGCTTATGGAGCGTTTCACCTTGGATCTTGTGCAAATTCCAACCAGAATAAAAGTCCCTGGGCTTCTTATCTGTGCCAAAAACTGCTACATCCCTACTCCCGCCACAGAAAAAGGATGTGCCTGTCCTTCCTCTCTCGACAATGGAATGTTACAAAGTTGAAGATGCCTGAGTTCAAATGAAATTCCCTGAGGTTGCCAGTTCCCACCTTACACCTTGAAGACAGATTTAGAGTCCTCCATTCAGCTCAGTGAAGAGAGGATTCATTGTAGCATCTGTGCTGGGTGAGAAAATCTCAGAGGGCAAGAGATTTGTCCTCCTGCACCTGTGACTGTGACCAGCATTTAAGAAAAGTGAGCAGGCAAATGCTCCAAGAAGCCACAGGAAGCACCTTGTCCTACAACCATGTGGTGTATAATTCCCACAGGAAATACTAAGAAATGAGACGTGAGATTATGGAAGGTTAACTTCTGGACCAGTACAGCACATGGGAGAATTCAAAGTTTTAAAAACTTCGTTGTTGTTGTTTGCCCCTGACCTTGAAACCAAAGCCCCACCACAACTGCAAGCAGCCCTTAGGTCATTACCCAGAGGTTAACACCTAAGGCAGGGCAAGGGGACTGTGGGAATGTCTACACCACAGCTAGCCTTCTCAGAGGGTTTAAAGCTCCTGAGAGAGGGTGGGAAAGGGGAGGCAGAAATGATGTCAGCATTTAAAACTTGTGCTCATCTTCAAGGATGGCTTGCAGTGGAGTGGAGAGGTTGGCCTAGAGGGTTTTACCTAGGAACTGCACCCTCATCTGAAGTTAAGTCTCCAAATCTCAGCAGAGGTAGTAGTAAAAGGATTCACAAATGCATGTGAAACCCACGTGAGTCGAGAGTTACAAGTGAAAAACGAGACTCCCTAATCACAAGGCCCGTATGTGTTTTGCTTGTTTGGTTTCAGTTAAGAACAGTTTCCCCAAATGAAAACCTCTGGCATCTTCCATCAGCAGATCAGAGGGCCTGTTGCTCCCCAGAGTGTCCACATGAAGAGTGCCTGGGAATGGAGGGGTCTGGAACAGCCCATCTTCTCCAAGGAAGAGACATGGCACAGTACTAGATGCCCCAGGAGACTACCCTGCCATGACCACAAAAGATGAAGCCCAACAAGCTACCTCGTTGGGAAGTGACGCTGAGAAAGATACACCTACTGTCCCCAAGCCCTTTGCTTTCCACCTATGGGAAAGGAAAGGACACTAACTTCTCCCCATGCACAGTGGGATCCTGAAGGTCCACAGACACACAAGTTAGAGCCCAAGGGAAGTGAATTTTTAAAAGGCATATCCCCATTCCAATTCTTCAAACCCCCTCGGCTGTCTCTGCTAGCTAACGAAGACAGTGCATGAGGAAAAATAAGCAGAGACGCCAGCCACCGCCTCGCCATCATGTGATCTTCACTGGTGATTTCTTGTTGGCACACAGGAGGGACACATAGGGGACGCCGATGAAGGCCCATTTCTCGCTGGGCCAGAACTTGATGACTGGGCCTTGCTCAGGGATCTCCGAGGCAGCATCAAAGTAGGCAAAGCAGACGCAGCCCAGGTAGGCTGCCAGGCAGATGAGGATGTGCCTGCGAAAGGAAGCCAGAGATGAGAACTGGAGGTGAGAATGGAGGCTAGCCTCTCCTCCCTCTGGGCTCACCCTCCCATCCTGACTCTAATCACAGCCCAGGCGCCTCTCATCATTAGTGAAGGATGGTGGTTATGAACAGCCCATGGAATAGCAGGTGGATAACACATCATGAGCAATTCAGGACCTACCTGAGAACACACTAAACTACTCCCACTCAGGAACAAGAGCAAACATGCAAACACCTGGGGGCTCTACCCAGAAGACTCAGTCCCAAGGACTTTGAACAGCTAAGAGAGCAATAACTGAATACATCAGATTACACTCCACATTCTCACTTTAACAACAGGTTGTATATACCTTATGCTCTTCATCAGGAATAATTTTACAATGTTTGAACTATTTTTGTGGTTTAGTGAGCAAATCCCTTTTTTAAAAAATTTATCCTTACTGTGCCTACAAAAAATTTCAATTTCAGTTATAGTCTTGTTCAAACAAAGAGCCATTTAAAGGCATGAAATCCTTCCTATACCCTTCGATGAACTGAAGATTCAAAATTGTTTTTAAAATATATTCAAGGGGGAGCAGTAGATGGAGTAGAGGTTATGTCACTAGACTCCTACATGGCCAATGATAGTTCAAGTCCCAGATTCAGTGACTTAAAACGCACGCTGGGTTAGGACCAGCAGATGGTATAATAGTTATGTCGCAGACTCCCACATGGCTGACTGTGGTTCAAATCCAGGACTCAGCAGCTTAAAACACACGCCAGGCATGCGTTCATGCCAAGATATCCCAGGAGGAGAATGGAAAAGGGATTGAGGCATGGCTGTGCCCCCTGGGGAACAATTTCTCAATTTCCCTCTCACTGTCTCTGCCCACCTACCCCCCCCCAAGCACACATATACCCTAAAGCCCTAAGGCAAAAACCTTTCAAGGATATATATATTTTTTATTTTTCCTTCAAGGAAAATGTTTTTATAAACTTTGGTGGGAAAGGTCTTTCTTAGAGTGACACAAAGTCCCCTAACTCTCAAGAACAGACTGACAGATATGACAACATGAAAACTTAAAATCAGTATGACACAAAAATATCATTAATGTTCTGAAATACAAATGAGAACCTAGGAGGAAATATTTGTACCAAAGAGTTAAAATCCCTACATTACAAAGAGCACTAAAAAAAAAAAAAAAAAATCACTTTATTATCTGGGATGTGCTTTAGAATAATCAGGGTGAGAGTGGGCAGAGTGGTATGGACAAGAATGGCCTTGTGTTTATAATTATGGACGCTGGGTGTTGCTTGAGGGGGTTCAATGAATTATTCTCTGAACTTTGGAAAATGTTGCAAATTTGCATAATAAATGGCATGTAGTCTGTAAACAATAATGACTTTCTACTACATGCAAGGCCTATGTGCTAGATATGAATTTTTTAAAATAGAAACACTCCATAAGGAAGACAAAGAAAATAAAAAGGCACATTTCAAAAGAAGACATACACATAGTAAATGTATATATGAAAATATGGCCAATAATAATATTAATTTTTCTGAACACATGAAAATTCATAAGAAAAAGATATATTTTTTTCAATCAGGTTAACAAATATTTAAGAGTTAACTACATTCAGTATATGTGAAAATGTAGGTTAAAGGTACTCTCTATAGACTTTAGTATAAAGTGTCAATTTGGCACTATATTTGGCAATATAAATTACAGCTTATATAAAATATACATCAAAAAGATATATGTTTATATATATATTACAGTTAACCTATGAAAATATTCAGGAATTAGAATCAAGATAGATGTTCATTATAGATGGTTTGCAAATGAGAAAAATTAGAAATAACTGAAATAGTCAATAATCTAGTTATTTATATAAATTATAAAGCATCTAAACCAGGAAGTATTAATTATACACAAAAAACAATGAAGATAAAATATATGCATTGGTAAGGAACTGTGTCGGAGCCAGCAGGTGGGTGTGGTGTTTAAGGCACTGGACTCGCAAATGGCCAACCATGCACGGTCTGAGTTCCAGACCTGGAGGATTGCTTTCTCACTGTCTTTTTCTTTCTCTCTCTGACTCTGATAAATTTTAAAAAATAATAATAATAAATAAACTTAAATAAATAATTCTTTTTTAAAAAAGGAATGATGTCAATGACCTAGCATTTGGTTTAAAAAACAAAAGGATCACTTGGTGTCACTTATAGAATGATACTATTTTTGTTTTTAAGAAATAGAGAGGGGCCAGCAGAAGGTATAATGATTACATTGCTGGACTCCCACATAGCTGACCCCAGTTTGAGACCCGGCCCTCGTGACTTAAAACTCACACCAGTCATGTGTGTACATACACATGCCCAAAATCCCAAAAGGAGAGTGGAGAAGGGACTGTGGCATGGCCATCCCCCTAGGGGTTATTTCTCATTGTCTGTTTCTGTCTCTCCAGCAAGCGCACGTGCCCTATAGCAAAAATCTCTATTAAAAAACTTTTTTTAATTTAAAACAAGAGAAATATTTATGCATATACATAGAAAATCTGGAAGGATCTACTTTAGACTTTTGACAATTATCTTTCTTTGTGGATGGAAACTTTAAGAGCCACATTCTTTTTATACTTCTGTGTTGTTTCTTTTTGTTACTAAAAAAAGATGTCATGGGCAAGCTCTGTATCCTAGCAATTCAGGGAGCCAGATCCCACATGGCTGACCACAGTTCAACTCCTAGCCCCAGACGCTTGAAAAGCGCCACACACATGTACATGCATGTCCCAAATCCCAGCTGGATGGAGCAATGGAGGAGAATGGATTGTGCCGTGACATCCCCCACTGGGCAGCACTTTCTGTCTCTGTTTGGTGAGCACACATGTCTTCAATTAAAAAAAAAAACATAATGTAATTTGATACATGGAAGAAAACATGATTTAATTTTCAAAAAACAAAGTAGAAAGTACATTAAATTCAGGAAAAATTAAGTTTGAGCCAAAGTCATATAGTCTAAATGCTGAATTTTGATTAAATTGCTAGTGTCACAGGGGACTTGGGTTACTAAAAATGCACTACATCTTGAATAAAGTTATATTTACATAATTGTACACATTGACCAAAACTCTAAGTGTACACTTTAATTTTGTACATTTTGTTATCTGTGAATTATGACTCAATATATATATAGAAAGTGTATAAGTTTATTAGTGTGAGTTGAGATTGAACCTAAGGAGTTTTAGCTAACAGATCCTAAGATTGCAGACCCCAACTTGTGCTGTTCTATTTTGTCTCTTCTTCTGCAAACGATTCTAGAAGTCCCTGAGCCTTACATTTGAAGTAGGTTGGATTTCTTGGAAAATATACACAAGTTCTTAGGTACTAGGGGAATTAAACACATTCTTTTAAACGGTCTATCTTTAGGTCATCTCCAGATGAGAGTCTGAATCCAGATCTAACTAAGCTTTTCCAATTCTTCATAAGAACTCCTTGGATGCTATCAACCTACAAGGGACATGATACAGCAAATTTTCCCTGCTCCTTTTCTTTTGCAATCAGAAGACCTGGAGGACAGACAAGGAAAAATTAATCTAGATTTGAAGCTGAAGTAGTTCCTAGGAAGGAAGCCACTTTGATTTCTTCCTCGGCTTTCTTAGAGTAAGATTCTGCATGTGGTTTTAGAACCTGCCTTTTTCTTTCCTTTTTTAAACTTAACGGTATATCCTGAGCATTGCGAAGTTCGGATGCTCCAGGTCAGGATCAATGAACTCCCAGGTTATTGTTATATAACCAATGGATGATATTGAACCATTCTTTTTAGTTCTCTGATATTCTGTCTCCAACTGCAGAAAGCCTAGGGGAGAGCCAGCCCCTTAGTGCAATGGTTAAGGGGAACAAATCCCACATGGCTAATGGAGGATCAAGTCCCTGCTCCAGCAGCTTGAAAGACATGCAAGGTACATGGACATGCATGCCCACAATCCTGACAGAAAGGAAGAATGGTGGGAAAAGGACCTAGCATTAGAGGGTTCCCTCTCTTTTTCTCTCCTCTCTCTGATGAGTGTAAGCACGCTCCAACATTTAAAAAGAAAAAAAGCCTGAGTGAGACTGTCCCTAGATGACCTGTGAAGCCCATGCTTTCACCTGGTCACGAGGCCTCAAAGCTCAAAGGCATGCTTCCGTCTGAGGACCCTCCTAGTCCCATGCTATCTCCATCCCACACCCCCTGTGCCAGCTGGTTTCTATCTAGAGCTTGAGTTACAGATCAATTTTCAAGCTCCTGTATGTTTTAATAATGGAGGAAAAGGTAAGAGACCACAGACCTTTAGCACAACAATGAGGTCTTTTTGTTCTGGCTAAGCCTTCTCCCTGGAGCCATTTCTGCTTTTTACAGTACTTTCTAATGCTTCTGACAGTCTAGTGAGGAGAAAGGCAGGCTAGGCCTGGTGCTGTCCCCTGAGCACACCCATGAACCTTATAGGGAGGACAGAGCCCCACAGCAAGTGCAGACACCTGTCTCACAGCCAACTCCCCAGTAGCAGGGCTTACCATACGCAGTGCAGGTAGG